TATATATATATATATATATATATATATATATATATATATATAGTGTTTAAAAACCTGTTTTATTGTAGCAATTTCCTAATTGTACCATACAGTATCTGAATCCCCCTTATCAGTTATGGTGACATGTAAAATGAATATAGTAGCCCTAGAGATAACTGTTAACACATAACAGCTATATAATATTTTTATGAAATTTACCCAAGTATATATATATGGTAAAATAAAACTGATTTATTGTTTATGTCAATATTCACAGTATGAACTTAATTGTCTTTTGTTTCATGAAAATAGTTTTAAAAACAAAGATTATTATAGTTTATATGAAGAATGTATACATGAAGAAAACAGCATGAAAATAATAAGTACTTAAGATGTGCCCTCATATTAAATACTCTTGCTATTGAAACAAGTCATTTAAAATTCAAGAAAAATAACAATGGTGGTTAAAAGGTTTGGTATGTTCAAAATAAATCTTTATCTCAAAAATCTATATAAAAGTAACATGCTATAGCAAAACCAGTTTTTGACAGTGGTTTTCATATAGCAACTAGTACATTTATTATGTAGGTTGATGATTTCAACAACAACATAGACTAATGTAATTGATAAATGAGTAAGAAATATTTCCTAATAATACCTTCCATGAACACTTGTAAAACTCAATTTCTTAGAAACTCTCCTGATATCAATTCAACATACCTGGCTAGCATCTACAGTCCAGTTATCATCCACAATAAATTTGTAAAGATACTCTCCCTCCAACAGATCTTTAGTTAAGGAAAACTTCCCTTCGCTGATTAAAAAGAGAAAAAAACTAACATGTGAAATTATCAGTAATCAGTTTCTCACACTACAGTTTTTACTTTGAATTCTAACCTGAAATCATTTTTAAGAGATTATCCAAGATCAAAGATTTATTAGAAGTTTGTAACTTGACTAGGCCAATAATAATGTAAATATCTGTACTCAATTTGGTATCTTTTTTTTTTGTAAGTTAAACATTACTTAAACCAAAATTATCATCATATTATTTTAATGCTTTGTTAATTTGAAAGGATAAAATGTTTGAGTATTACTCACACAATCTATAGAAAGTAAGAAAAAGTTGTTCTTCATTCAATAAAGCTTTAGTTTGATTTTATATCATTCAAAAATCACTAAAACATTTTAGGTAACAGCTGTACTAAGCTGAAATGCTATTTTAATAAATTATTCTTAACTGATATGTATGCCTCACTTGCTTATTTACTACAATCAATTATAGAGGGATAATTACACTTCATATAATTAATTTCCAGCCATTTTACAGTGCAAAGCAACCACATTTAGACCTATGGCTGAAGGTGGAGGAATTGACAAAGGCTTTCCAAAGGAATTGTATGACGAAATTGTTGAATGATTTAAGTCCAAAAGACACAATAAACTTCAAAAACATAAGCATTCAGTGGTCTTCACAACAATATATACATAATAAACTTTATGCAGTAGAACATTCAGGACTGCAACAGACTCAAAAAACACATCCCAAGCTAATCTGGAGCAACATTCTCATCCACAAGATGAAGGCTACCATTAACAGAAACTTCTCATTCAAAAATCATTGCATTTAAGTTGGGTATTACCTTGGTATCATTAATATGATACACAAGGATTTGAAGATGACAAGCTTTCTGTTTTGTCTCAAAAACAATGCCTGTTTAAATATGAAAGATGGCCAAAAATTTGAATTCTATCAACCACGTTTGACCTCATACCTGTGAAGTCACCTGATGCAGTTTCAATAAACTTTCAGAACTTTAGTCTCGTTAAATGTGGTCTTGAAAGCTGTTGTCCAAGTACAGTAGAATGTTTGCAGAAAGTTTGACAATGTGGTCTAAGAATAGCATTATAGTCTTTCACCACAGACTTCAGTGTCAGGCAATAATATATAACCATTACCATCACACTGTGCAAGACTAACAGTGGAAGACTTATATTCAAGGGAACACAGAATCTGGAACACCATTCTTATAGAGTGTGGTTAATCCTCAATAATAACTGTCTTCAATATATATGTAACTCAGTATAAGGTTTTCCTGAAGTTGATATAACTAAATCAGAGTTACATCATAATTTTATCTTTCTAAATTTCCAAATGGCACAAACAATTAACATTCCTTTTTCTTTGTGACTAATTTTGATATTTAGAAACAAAATCCAAGATCTATGGAGAAAAACAAAATATAAAGATCTTTCCTGTATCTAACTTGTAGTTAAAACAGCATAATTTGTTTAAAAAATTATATTTTTACGTTTTTGACAAAAACAAACAAAAGGCTAACTATTTTACTTATAAATGACAGCAGCTTTCCCTGATAGAAACTTATATGATACTTTTATTACTGAATAAATTATTCATGATAATTAGTTACAATAAACAATCAATGAGACCACAAGATTAAGTTTATATACTTATTTCTAAAACAACAATCTTTGCAAGTTTGAGAAGATTTGAGACCTTCTGAAAACTTTATAAAAACGTACAAATAACTGAATTGTCTTACCTACCTGTTAATAAATAATTTACAGTCTGGTATAAATAAAAGCAAAGAGTAGTAAAGACTTCAACTTAAAGAAGACTTTACATATGTCCTGAATACCAGCAAGCATACCCTTTTGATAGTATCTACCTCTATGATATTTACTGTTATTTAAAATTTGCACATTACCTCATGACTCTTTGTAAATTTAACTATATTCATACCCGCGCAAGTTAATTTTTGCTTTGTTTCTCAGTAATACAGAAAAATAATTTAAATGCTCTAGTAAAGCTAGATGGTGAAACATGGTGACTGGAATAACAGTACAGCATTTTACTGTAACTCTTAATATTGTTACTTCTCTGTTCGTTTGTTAATTTCCAGTAGAAATTCTGCCCGAGAAACTTCAGCGATACAAGTCCTTTCTTGAATAAAACTTGTTTATTCTTTTTCAATACAACTTTGCAATACACTTAATTTCGACAGTCACCTTAACTTAAACACACGCTAGAATTCACAATGATTCACGCACTTTACCTACGGCTTGACTCGATTGTCTCTATATCTCTCTGTCTGCAATTCCATTATTGCCGTCACTTTATTTGCCGGCTTATATACTATAAAAGCGCACGTCTAGCGAACGCTAGGATGTTCGACAGGTTCCTCGATCTTTCTAGAACTCCAGCGCATGCTCCCAGTGTCTAGCGACTTCCGCTGTCGTAATAATATTAAGCTGTATAAATACATTGTTTGCATTTAATTTAATCAAAAATGATAGTGCATCCTTAACATTATATCATTACAACTTTCTACACATAAATAAAATTATACCATCTCAAACACAACAGAACGTCTCAGTTCTTACAAATAAAATTACTTCTCAGAACGTTTAGATCAACCTTAATAGTAAGTTTGTCTACCCTGAGCAGTAAAAACAGTTTTACAATGTCACCGCACATGCAATGAGAGTAACATAAATATTTGGGTTTGTAGAATGGGTTTATGAATGTAATTTAAAAACTGTCTTTCCTTCATTTTTCTCTTTATAATTAAATTACACTAATAAAAATTATTCTTCTATTGTGGCTGTCTTAAGAAGAGGTATAATAATTATTGTTGAGAAAACTAAAGGATAATCCAATTTATTGTAAAAATATAACAAATTTTGATAGCATTATAACAGAGTTGGCCTTAATTTATTTTACTTTTATAAAAAATTATGTATAATTAAGAAAGAAATCAAAGCAATTCACCGTATAAGTTTAAACAAAAAAATAGATGTAGTTAGAATGAATATAGGGAATAGCATAGTTATTTTGAGCAAAGAAGATTAAGTAATATTCACAGTAATAATGGATAAAATTAAATTTAGAAAACTGGACTTTATTTAGTTTATATCGTGTAAGTATTAAAGTAAGTTATATTTAGAAGCAATACTTATGACAAGTTTGATTATGTAACTGTTTACAAATCATTTGTTTTTCTCATTGCTTTGAGTGAGTATTGTTACATCATAACATCTTGTAGTTTGTAGAAAGTTCTAGGCCTCAGTCAGGCAATATAAATATAACCATAACAGGCAATTTCTAAAGTGAGTTTCTCAGCTTGTATTGTAATAACAGAGACAGAGATGAAGGGTGTTCTAAAGTAATTGAACCCGCCTGTGTGGACTTTGACAAAAAAAAAATTTAAAGCTCTGGATACAAGTGTGATAATCAATAATGTAACAAATATTTGTACACACATTTGACGACTTGTTCTGAATATATTATTTTAAAACAAATGGATTGTGTGCTGTCAGTTTATTGTTGAAATTTGTCACCAAAAAGTCACACAAACCTACTATAAAGAATCTGGCCCTATAAAACTTGACAGTTGGAGTAACTAAACAAACATCCTTGTATCAAGTTTATGGTGTTTTTTTTAGATCTTGATACTAGTAACTATGGTTATCATTTAGAAACAGAAATATATCATAAACTAGTCTAAACAGGATTGTAAAATCATGTTGACAGTTTTATATGTTAGATATAAGGTCCATTTTATAGAGCCTGTCATATTGCCAGTGACTATCATTATTTCATTAAGAAATAAACAATATTAAAAATGTGTTTTTTAAAACTGGTTTTCACCTATCAGTACTTAACATTTTAAAACAAAGTGTACATCCTTGTAAGATAAAATGAAAAAATATCTTGAAATCAAACTATCTACAAATTTCAAAGTGTATAGTTTTAAATTCAGTATTGAGATCTGACAGTTTTTTCAAGATAAATGGCAGAATAACTTCAGCACTACTATGATATGTTGTTCTCTAAGTGGGCAAGATAATGTGGGATCAACCATGCATCATTTAAAGCAGCATCTACAGCCCAGTACTGATAATTCTTCAAACTTTTAGACCAAGAATGTGATGGGACTGCATATGAAACAAACTCTGATGTATCATGTTGTTCCAACAACAAACAAAATGTAAGAATAAAAAAATAAAAACTTTGGCCATCAAGAAGCTTGAACCAATCAATTTTAAAATCAATCATTCTCACTTTTCAGAAAGTTTCCATGGGTCATTCCAATTGTTGAATGTACCCGAGACTCCAACCTCTTTTCCTTCTTGTTCCCAAACAAATGTGGCAGGGAAAGTTGCCTTGCTTCTTGTTTCACTTATGTCACATGCAGGCTCACCAATGATCTATGGAAAGTCCAATCAAACTGATGAAAAGCTAAAATATATCTAACAAACTGTTTAACTGTATTTATCACAGAGGTTCTAGGAACATAATTACCAGTGCTTGTACTTCAATCACAGAGCTAATAACGAAGTGTCTGAAACAACATGCACCTTTGAACCACCAAATGGTATAATAAATTATATCTAATTTAAGAAAAATGTACAACCAAAGCTCCCAGATGATAAATCTGAAAAATAATAATAATAAATAGATAAGACTAAACAGATTTACATTCAACAGCAGCTTGGATATACAAATTTCTAGAAACAAAAATAAAAATTCTGTTTTGTAACAGTACAACCCATACAAGTGTATTTACAATAAAGTTTCAATTCATCTGTATAAAGAATGCCACCAATACATTTCAGTAGATGCAATTTTTTATTTGTCTTGTTTACGCAAAAAGCTTAACATTGGGATATCTGCACTGTGCCCATCTCTGCATTAATCTCAAAATATGTGTTTTATAAACTCTCAAGCTTGCTTCCTATTCTTTGAAGGACCCATTCTATGCTACTTGTACTTTATCTACTGTATCACACAGTTGGTTTGGATACTTGCTAGCTCAACAAATGTATAATCCCATAAGCAATACTTTTGTAGGCTATGACTTGTTTAAGACTTAAGACATTTGTATTGGTTTTGGCTAGAAGAAATTCTTAATATCAAGTGATCAGCACATGACAAATAATGATTAGAACTTTCTTCAAAGTATAGGAAAGAATTTGAAAGAGAAAATTAGCAAGTAACTGGAGGTTGGTTGTGAGCTACAACAGCTTTGAATTCTATGTTTCCAAGGCTATATATTTAATTGACTGTTCAGTGTTGCTTATAAAGTTAAGCCTATCTTTAGTTCATCAAACTATGCAGGTTGTAAAACTTGTAGTCAAAGAAGTAAAGCCCTTTTATTCTCATTAAGTTGACTGGACTTTGCCTTATTTTTAACCAAATAATCTAAAGAACCCACCCAACAATATTAACCATGAAGCAGCATGCATTCTTCTGTCAAAATCTATAAGTACCTACCCCAAAAAGGGTACATATCTATCTTTATTATTAGCATGATTCTTAAGTATTATATTATGATTGTCGATATTTGCTTCAGCACTGTAATTTTTATTTTCTTTAAAATACAAATCATTTAGCAGCAAACTTGATTATATGATAAATTACCAAAATAAGCACAAACACATGGAATCCCTAAGTAAAGGAATGTGATGTAAAAGCAATTTGTACAATAAGAAGACAAGAAATAAATGAAGTAAATTTATATGACCATTCCAAACAAATGGTACTACAACCATCTTTTGAAAACATTACTACAAAAGAAATACATGCGTTTTACTTGTGTTTGAGACATTTTAATTATGCTTATTTACTGTCCTCCTCATGGTTTTATCAGGAAGCTTATGACAAGGTCAATAGGTTAAACACTGCATTTTCTATGGAACCAAAAGAAAGAAGGAACATCAAGCTAAGTTCAATATATGTTATTTGTAAAAACAAAAAAGAAATAAGACTAAAAAATCTTAAACTAGCACTTTAGAATACAAAAAAGAATTACAATGATATTCATACACTCTCATATGTACTTATTGGGAAAACAAAAAATTAAAATAGCTTAATTTTCATGAGATATAACAAAAATAAAATGGTAAAACAGTACACTCTAGATACAAGCTTATAGCAAGAAATAAAGAGCAATAACAGAAAATTAATATACTTGAATATAAACTTTACAGAAAAGATATAGTACCTGGATATCAGTTCCATTTTGTACACCATTTTCACTTGTAACCTGTTCTTGCTGAATTTCCTCAACATTACTTTCTGACAAAGGCTTCTTACTTACAGTGTTATCACTCTCATTTGTCTTTTCTTCATATGTTTCTCCATTTGTCTGAGTAACAATTTCCTCTTCCTTCTGTTTTTCTTCTTCAATATCTTGACTCTTACATTCCTTTATCTGTTCTTTTATTTCATATTTTTCTTCACTGTTGTAAGTATCTGCTGGTTGTTCTTCCTTTAGCTCTTCTTTAGGTTCTTCAGCCAGTTTTTCTTCAACTTGTTCTTCATGAACTTCATCTGTAATGATACCTTTTTCTGTAGGTTTTCCATCAACTTCTACTGTAGGGTCTTCATAGGATTTCTCTTCCACTTCTATACTGCTACATTCATCTGTAAGTTCTACAGTGGGTTTCACTACAACTTCTGTAACATTACTTTCTTCTGTATGTTCTGCAGTGGATTTCTCTTCAAGTTCTTCTGTACTGATAATTTCTTTAATTTCTACAGTGGGTTTTTCTTCAAGTTCTTCTGTACTGACAGTTTCTTTAATTTCTTCAGTGGGTTTCTCTTCAAGTTCTTGTACAATATTACTTTCTTCTGTAAGTTCTGCAGTAGGTTTTTCTTCAACCTCTGTAGGTTCTACGTTAGGTTTCTCTTCAAGTTTTTCTGTAATGCTACTTTCCTCAGTAGGCTTCTCTTTAACTTCTGTGATAACACTTTCTTCTGTAGGTTCTACAGTAGGTTTCTCCTCAACTCTATCATCTTTATGTTCTTCTGTAATTTCAATTTTTTCTAGACTGTTTGTTTGCTGCTGTTCTTTAGAATTCTCTTGAGAAATAGAAACTTCTGTGGGTTTTTCCATGACTTCACATTCTTCTTGAATACTAGGGCTGTCTTCAAGTGTCTGATCATGTTTTTCTCCTTCTGCAGGTGCCTTGTCTTGTTGGGATGGTTCTTGAGCAGTAGAAACATCAAGTGTGACTAAAGGCACTTCAGTGGCAATGGCATTTTCTTCAGTAGTAACATCTTTCTTAGTTTCTGTAGGTGCAGGTGATTGAGCTTTAATCTCGACAACTAGTTTTTCAGGTTCTTTATTCTCTGTTTGTGAAGGAAGTTCTGAAGTTGGTCCCACTTTTTCTGGAACTTCATCAACAGATGATGGCTCTGTTGCTTTAGGTTCATTTGGTTTTGGATGAGTATCTTGATCTTCTGTATTTGGTTGTGTCTTGCTTTCTTCAGGGATAGGAACAGAAAACTGTTCTGTCAAGTTCTTTGGGGTTTCAACATCCTTTTTATCACCATCAGATTCTTTGTTTTCTTGATCTCCCTTTGAATCTGTTGCAAGCTTCTCAGTTTCAGCAACTTCACTTGGTTTCTCTTCTTCCACTTTGGCACATTCTTCAATCTTATTCTATAACAAAAAGTACTTCAAATATTATATATATAAGTATAATTAAAGTTATTATGGTGACATCAATGCTTAAAATAGATTTTTAGATTATATTTATGAATAACAATTCACACACACACACAAATATACATGTTCTATTAAGCTAGTATTGACTATCAAAATATTAGTACCCTCTTGAAATGGAAGCGATTACCATATTTTTTAAGATTATCAATTAAGACCTTGACCAAACTCCTGCCTTTCAATAATATTAAATGACAGTTTTCAATTTTGCAAAAATATTTTAAACACGAAATCAAACCACCTGTTACTTTAAACATTTTTCAACTTAAAGTATATATGAGAAAGCAAATTGACAGAATTAAATGAGAGAGAAATACAACTGAGGACAGGAAAAAAGGAGAGTACTATTACTTAGAAATTAAATGTATATCTTTTGTCATAAACGTTAGTCAAAAATGCTGCAATCTACATTAAAAATAGAAAGTCCCCACAACTTGGATATGTGGTTAAGTTATGCCATGATAGTAGGAATAATGTAGGTATATTATCATAATCAATATTCTAACATTCAGAACTTTATTACATCATTATACAAGAGTACAAAACCATATCAGGACAGAGAATATTATACACTTATACAGAATACAGCACTGAAAAAGTTGCATGGTTATAACCTAGACAATGCACTGAGAAGATTATATTGTTATACAGAGGACAACACTGAGTGTTATCTGTATATACAAAGAGCAGTAAAGAATGGGTTAACTGGATACAGAGAAAGCAACCAAGTAAGATGTGGTTGTTAAACAGCAGTTTAAACAACATTAAGATGGTTATATATTATCAAACAGCGTGATACTGAAAAAAATATGGTCATATAAACAGCAATACAGAAAACATTATAATGTTAGCAAAGGGAAGCCCACAGAAATTTATATGGCTAACAAATATGTAGCCCAGAGAAAGTTATAGTACTAGAAAGAACATCCAAGACAAGAGTATACACAGAATGTCTCAGGTTAAAAGCTATATTGTATATACAGAATACCACAGGTTAAAAGCTACATGTTATAAACACAATGTCCCAGTATTATTAATAGAATGTCCAGGCAAGTTTATATGCAGACCATCCCAGCCAACCCTACTTGGTATATACACACACACACACACACACACACATATATATATATACAGAGAGAGAGAGAGACAGAGAATGTCCTAGAAAAGTTATTACACAAACCAACACAAAAAACATCACAGAGATGGTTTCGTACAGAAATTTCATACAAGAATATAAAAGGGAAGTCCAATCAAGGTTATATGGTAATGTGAAAAGTAGCACACATATATTATATGTTTCCATCAATTCACAGATACAGTTTAGATAAGATGTTATACAAAGTCCATGACAAGAAGATGGGCATGTGATGAATGACAACCATGTCTTGATGTTATTCCATTGATAAAACAATAAACAATAATACAACCAGTTCTATATTCACCATTAACATTTGTGAACACCTTCACTCATCGTATGTGAAACAAATTAAGTTTACTCTCAACACACTGTTCCTGATATTGTTAACTGTTAAGGATTAACAAGAACAGAGATAGTTATTTTAGAAGCAGGAATAAGATATCTGAGAACTCTGCAATTACTTTGTGTTAAGTAGAAGAAATGCAAGTCAATTTAAACATCTCTAATTTAAATGGTCTGATATTATTAAATTTCAGATTTTTAAGAATATTATACTTTGGTACTTTGATTTAAGGACCCCATAATCTTGATTTTTCCAAATTTTTCATAATAATTTAAACTGTTTTGTTTTAAGATATTTTTTTAATAGTATAAACAGTTAATATGTTCAAGGTTAAGAAGTTAGAATGAAATGTCAAACCAATAACTTTTAATAAGAAAACTAGATCTGAATCTTAGAGCTTACAGATATTAAATATGTCACAATGTTAATTTATGTAAAACAGCCTAAATTAATAATGGAATAACATTACAGTTCAAAAGATATACAGGATGGATATTATACACAACAGTGAAAAGACCAAGATTAAACTGAAATTAAATACTGAAATAATTCCCAAGAAAGCCATCTCAAGGTTAGTCATCCTACTGCTCACTCTTTGTTCTTCACTAACTTAACACGTCAACAAGAAGAAAAGGATTGTATTACTACAATGTGTAAACCTTGAACACTTTAGGGATTTAAAACTATCACTCAACTATACCTTGCAACTAATAACTTCCCTGCCTTTCATAACTGGATTTAATGCGAGAACCTTTGTGGAAAAATAAATTTCCAAAACTTTATGGAAAATTTTAGCACTAGTACAGTTATAGAATTTTTACTGAGAGGCTACATAAAACTAGTTACAGATCTAAAGGCATTTTCTGCTTAACAATCAAACTAAATGAAGAAATGATATTCAACAGTATTTAAGAGCATAATACAGAAACAGATACTGCTGTCTGATTCAGTCTGGTATATTACTTCTCTCACTTCACCAGGAGTACCTGAACATGCATTATTTATAGAGTTCTCAATATAACAAATCAACGAATAAACATTATAATTTCTGTAGAGGTATACACAGCTTGTAACTTTTAACTACATAAAAAAAAGAAGAAAGACACAAAACATTATTTAAATCTGAATTATTTTATATGCTGGTTATTACAGTAAGTGATTAAAATCAATAAAGAAATTCTGCTATATGATCATTGTGTTAAATTCACATTTATTCAAGATGGACAGATCCTACAACAGAATCACGGAAAGCAGGCATATTCTCATGATGGAGACAAATATGCAAACAACTACAGTAGTTTTGTTTCCTAACATAACCTGTCAGCAGCCAATAGGACTGAGAAACACAAGTCTGACAGTACAGAAGTTCAAACCATGTAAATAAAACAAGGAAACTATACTAGGAAAACAATAACTTCAACAATAAATACTTCCTGACTGCAGTTCAATTACTCACCACCTACACACATTATTGTCCCATCACGTTGTCACCCTCTTATATATACCAGACTACCCTATATCTAGTAATCTCCCGACAATTCACGAAGGTACAAGATATTTCCAGAAAGCAGGGGGCGTGACACTAGTCACGTGACTTCGCTGATGCAACAATATTCTCAAATAGGCAAAACTATTACCAATATTATCAACTAGTAAAATAACTAAAATATTACAAAATGTTACATGTGCTTGTAACAGCTATTAAGTAGGTTATAATTAAAATATTATTTAAGAAATATGCAATCTGTTGCAAACATATATTGCAATTTCCAACAGAATGTAATTTAAAATTTACTGAATTAGCATAGACCTATCAAAAAGTAAGCATTGTAACAGTTTAAGCTTTTTTCATTGTTTTATTTGTAGTAGAGTAATGTATTATATTTTGAGACATTTTTCAGTGGTGTACACTTCAGAAATTCAACCGAAAACAATAAAATATGATAATTTATTATATTCAATGGTATCTGACTAGACTGAAAAACCAATGGGAAAAAAAAGCTTTTGAACATTTTTTCCCACTTAACCTATAAGAGTAATAAAGAAAAATAATCCTAACATAATTTTTACATAATGTTTTATGATTACTGAAGTAAGAATGGGGTTAAATGTTATCCTATTCACAAATCTGGTTAAATCATGCTTTTTTTTTTGCTCACTCTCTGCATATATTACACAGTTTACTTGTGTTAAAAATAAATGCTTCTGAATAAAGTTGAATTTTATAAGTACAAATAATTACTATAATTTTTTGAACCAACTTACAAAGACTTCTTACCATCTTTCTTCAAGTTGGTGCCAAAATAATTGGATGGAATGAGAATTTTCTTAAGTATACACATTAAAACTTAATATACCACTTAAAAACCTAATAAAGACAATAGTTAGTCAACCAGGACAATGCAACTATAAACAAAGTTGATCAACTTATTCGTAATGATAAACCTGGCACTGCTTCATCATTCACAGGTTTTAAAACTGTTTCAAAAGCTAGCTTGTTAACAACACAAGGTAAAAACAGACTGTTGCAGCCAATCAGAGCAGAAATATGTTGTAATTCAAGAAACTATAAAGCTGGTCACAACAACATGTTCTATCACAAGACTGTGACTCACACCTCACAGAGCTCCATCCTGTTCTCATGAATACCAACCTTGAATCTTCAAAAACTAGTCATTGGACAAGTAATTCACAAACAATTCTAAATTCTTACCTTGCTAGTATCATAAAATAAATAACAAGATAAACAAATAGGCAGGCAGGCTGTCCACTGCCATTGACAAAAAATAAAAGATAAAATACAAATTCTAAAATAAACGTTTTATAGGCATCTCAATTTCCAAAAAATGTCATGTTTTGTTTTTACCAGTAAGATCCAATACAAATATTTAATACTTTTCACTGTAGATATGCTTTGTCTACATACAGTCACAGGAATTTTGATAAACTATATTTTAAAACACAACTTAAGTTTGCTTGACCCACTAGTTATCATTAGCATTAAGTACCACTTTAACATACACAGTTGTTGAAACACTAATTTTCTTAAGATACACATTTATGGTATACATAAAGGCATTGAGAGATGACTGGTGTCTTTGGCCCCCAAAATTTCTAATTCATACAAAACTAATTTTGTATGTCATGAATGAAATAAAGTACTTGGCATGACAAAAATAAAGGTTTGTAAAGCTCATATCATGGGCACAGAGAGGTTGGGTTCCTGGTGTCTGGGGTGCCCATATTTTATAAAGAAAATTTTTTCTAGCTATAATTTGACATATTTGGCTAAGTACAAAAAAGTAAAACTAACCATACATATACTTGTAGATGGCTGTCATGTTGCCAATAAGGAAAAATATTTACTTACACATAATTTGAAAGAATGCTCTCTGGAGAAGTCATATTTATCACTTTCTACTAAAAAGAGGATAATGCATAAATGTTTGTAACAAG